TTGTGCATTTATGAAACACCAGGTATTTTTTGGAGCCTTCCTTGACCCCCTGGGCAAGTAATTTCTTTCTGCCAGGTCTTCATTGATGTCTCTGAGAGAGAAGGATGCCAAATAGTGCCCTTTTAAAGTACTTTGTGACTACAGAGATGAAAACCTAAGCACACACTTCCACACACTTGAGAGATGAGAAGGAAGGCCTGAGATTGGTAATTTTATTCTTGGATTTACAGATCATACATGGAGAAAGATTTATTAGCAGTGTTACTGTGGTGGGGTGTAAGGAACTCTCTTTGACTTAGACAGTTCTCAGGTGTTTTGAAAGGTTTTTTTGATTGGATGCTACCCAGAAGAAAAATGGTGGCAAATGTGCTAGAAGAGGAAAATCAGCTTTAAGCAGTCTTAGAATGGTGAGTAATAACAGTAGGAAACTACAGAAGGATAATTGATCATTTATCAGTAAGCAGTCACTTGGCCATGTGAGAGCTAAATCTGTAAAAAATGGACCACAAAAAGCTGTCTTTCATTTAACATCTCTAAGCTTTTATTTTAACATGTCAGGTAATCATTTTGGCCTCTTGAGAAACCACTTTAGGAAGTGGTTCTAAATGGAAGGTTAAATCCTTTGAAAAATATAAATTATCTGCTTTTTCCTGCCCCTTCCTCCTTCCTTTCTCTTTCCATTTACATATGCATCCCATATTTCCTACATCTTTGAACTACAGGCAGCAGCTGAATGAAGTACATCTTGAGTGAATATGAGGAGAGAGGAGGGGAAAATAATCCATAAATTTAGAGATTAAGGGATAGCTACAACTTCTTCAACAGGTACACCTCTTGTAAGTAGAATATATTCTAAATTCTGTGTACCGCATACAGCAGTATGCAGTAGTTAAAAATAAAAACCAAAAAAACAACTAAACCCTAACACTGCTGCATGATGCCTTCTGTCAATTTCTTAGCCTCTTCATTCACATTTGAAGTCAGCAATTTGCATATACTTTAATAAAAAAAAAGCCTTAATCATAGAAATGTCTTGGTTTTACTTTGTAACCTACACAAAATGCTGTGTAAAAAATACAGAATTCCACTGTTCCGTTGATCATTTGATGCTCGGTGGGTGAGCAGCTTGTCACATTTCAGACCCTCTCAAAAGCAAGTAAACAAGCTCATTTCTATAGTTATGATGGTCTCATGACAGAAGCAGGACAATGTTTGGCAGGTGTGCTGGTGTCCTGTGTTAGGCCAGCAGATGTGCTGTGCAGCCCAGAGGAGAAAACAAGCTGAGAGGCACACAAGGCCTTTCTTACACTGAAGGAAAAGCATCACACCTTGTTCAACTGTGTTTTGTAATAATTTACAAAGCCTACACAGGCTTTTGGTGAACTTGCTAACCATGGTTTTTGCCTTACAACACTTACAAAAGGAGCCGTTTTTCTTCTGAATTAGGTATTTGCTCTGCAAGCAGCGTTTAGGGACTAAGTGCTAGTATATTTAGAAAATATATTATTAAACCATATTTATATTAATAACATATTTTATATATTTGAGTGAATCTTCCATTAAAAAAAAATATTTGCTCAAATATCTTCCCAGAATTAAAGAACTACAAAATATTTAAATCATATTTGGCTATTATTTTACTTCTCAAACTAAAAACAGTTGGCTTCTAGCACAGAAAACCAGTGTTTGATAATGTATGACTGATAATGACATCAGTTATGTGACAGATAAATAACTGGTACCTTTAATTTTCCTGTGACATAAAGTGGTTGTGAGTGATTATGAGAAATAGTTTGTAGCATGCATTTCTATAAAAGAAAACACAAAATTTTCAAGCAAAAACTCCCAAATGGGTAAAAAAAAAAGAATAAAACTTGCATAAGTACATATTTGCGCATGTACACTCTCTCTTTTAGAGATTGCTCTTTGGAAAGCTGTTGCTGAAAAAGCTCTTCCTTCCACACATAACACAAATAGCACCATATTCTGTACTTCAGTGGGGCAGTGCACAGCTTTCTTTGCAGTGACAAATACTGAAATGTTAAAAATAGATCAAGCTTTGAGAATCCCAGATATTTTCAAATAACAAAGGATGATTTATGTGAGCTCATTTTGCACTTTGACAAAGTATAGAGGCTCTTTTGTACTATGATTAGCAAGGGTGCTGATGTCAGTTTGCTTGTCTAGCTTTAAGCTTTATTCTGCTGCTAAATTGTGCTTTGTACTGTACTGCAGAGAACCTTTGTATCTGCCTTATTAGTGTGTAGTTTATGGAATTGCTTTTGTTTTTGAATATAATCTGTGCCAGTTTCAGAGTGTGACTCACTATTGGACTGAAATAAATGTTCGCATATGCACTATGTGAAAACTCTTCAAAAATAGTAGCAGGTGCTAGCAGGCTAAATTCAATGTTTTAAATATTTAAGACTTGCTGTTTTGTAGCCTGAAGGGCTGAAAGGAAATTCTTTTAGCTCCATGTTTTTTCTCAGTTTTAGAGTCCTATTTGCTCATTAATACTCAACAGAAAATGTCAGGATTGCTAAGAACCTTTTATTCCCTAACACAGTACTAAAAATAAATTTTTAGTAGAGGCATGCCTGGTTGATACAGAGTTGACAGAGTTATTTTGCATGGCATTTTGTTGGTGCACAAACTGTTAGACAAAATACACCATACTTCTCAATTGCACTTCTTCCTCTCCTATCTCTAATTTCTTTCCTCCTGATTTCTGCTTTGAAAATTTAATGAGTTACTGAAGGCTGAGGTTAAAGATAAAGCAGTTTCTGAAAGAGTTTGTAGCAGTTATCTGTGATCAGGCTTGCCTGGAGAAAGGCTCATCTACTGAAGTTTCATGTTATCCCAGCATCTAAGTTGTCACTTGATTTGGAAGCAGGAAACAAAACAAACTCTGCTAATGTTTTTGGGTCGCTGTTAAATGCTGCTTATCCAGCTGTGCTGCTAGGATATACTCACATTTGAAATCTAAATTGAAGGGGTTTGTTCTATTGCATCTTCTACATTTTAACTGTTCACCAGTTAACCTTACTGCTACCATGGAAATAGTTGCTTGAGACTTTGACAGTTCGCTTACAGTTCAGCATTTAAAAACAGATGCTGTTATTCAGAACTGCAATAAATAAAATTGTTTTGTAAAGTATAGACATTATCTTTAAATTAGAAAAAAACGTTTTGAGGTTTGCTAGTTGGAGAATGGATCACAAGCCTTAATTAATCTGTCTGTCCTTTTTCCCTTTCTCCTTTCTGTATTATCTTTTCATAGTAGCTTTCTAAGCTTGGTACCCCAAACAGGCATGCACAGTGGGGGTTTTATGAGTCTTTGGGGCAAAGCCCACAGCACTTGTTTAGAGTGGGGAGATGGCAGTGCAGTTCTTCCTCCTTGTCCCTTATGTCCCCCTTCCACTAGTTTGTTTAAAGGTAGCACCTACAAAAAACCAAATGAATGCACTTTTGTGCCTCACAAAAATGGCCCTGAATCTTTCCCTAATACACAGTGAGAAACGCTTGTCTTCGGAGCTGATGTCCCAGTGTTTAAAGGACATCACATATCTTGATGCCTTCTGGGACCATCCTTTCTGATTCTGTTCCTTTCCTTGGTTAGCTCACAGCCAGGGCTGGCTGAAAGGAAAATGCCCTCACCCTCATTATGCATTTATTCTGCTGTTTTTTTCCTGGTTGTTTTTGTTTTGTTTTTTTTTTTAATCTTTCAAAGGACTTGCTGACAACCTTGTCTGAATATCCTAAAGAAGTTTACAGTGGGGTGACTTGGGGCATGGTGTGAGTCTGTGGTGTAATGCAGGTCTTGGCCACTGCACTGATTTACCTTGGTCTCCAACTTTGCTGAAAAATGTAAGAACACGGGTGGCTCTCCACTGGATCTGGGCTCTGCTTTCAGACTTCTCTGTGCAGCTCTCCTAGTGAGCAATGGCAGTGTGTCTGGTTTCTTCTGCTATGCCAAATTATCCTGGCACTGGGGTATGAAAAGAAGCTGCTAGCATAGTATTGCTGGTAGAGCTGAGGAACAAAAGTGCAGCCAAGTGAGGCAATGATGATGCTGTTGGAAGCAGCAGGACAGCTGTATGCTGAGCTTGGTTGTGTAGTTTTAGTTAAGGTCTTTGATGAGAATTATGGCAGGTGATAGAGGCCCATGGGATGAAAGGCAGCTAAGGATTAGTTAGAGAATGCAACATTTTGCATTTGCTTTTCTCTTAGACCAGCTTCTTTCTGCAGCATCAGGAGAGCTCTTATAATAGGCACAGTGTCAGACTATCAAATTGATTCGTTCTATATCTTCCCCAAAGACTGGGCTTATGTGGTAAAAGTACAACATTTGGTCATTCTCTCCATCCCCATCTCTCTAACAGTTTCAAAAAATAATAATGTTGCTCTTTTTCTGTAGGAAGTACTAATGTAGAAATATGATGAGGTTCTGAGTGCAGAGTTCTGCTGGCATCGAGGTGCATGTACAGTGTCTGTTCCTTAAATGCAGGTCACTATCGCTGAGTATCAGTGAAAAATTCAGTTAAAGTGCATCAGCCTGAAATAACAGATACTGTAAACAAAACATCATAGAACACATAAAGATGTATTTCATTTTGTCTTTCTCATGCCTATGACAGCTTCCTTCAGAAGCCCTTTTTGTGTGCTTTTTTGCCCCTTTCCTGATCCCCACCCCACTTTTTTCTTTAGTGTATTCATGCTTTCTCATTTTGTAAACAGTGATTTAATTTATATATGCACTTGTTACAAACAAAGCCAAGATATAAAATTTAAAATACAAATTCAGTAATCCTCAAGTCCACTGCTTTAACAATACCTAAATAGTGTTAAATGTGGGTATTTGGTGTGTAATCTCTTAGTATAATAATTGAACTATTTATTAGTACTTGGTTCAACCCAGGCTGGAGTCACACATAAAAGGTCGTAAAGTGTGATTTCTTTCTTCTAATTTTTCTTCCTTTTTTCTTCTCCCCAATTTCCAGGCATGGAAGAGAAGGTGGTTTGTGCTTCGGAGCGGCCGCTTAACGGGGGATCCAGATGTATTAGAATACTACAAAAATGACCATGCCAAGAAGCCTATCCGTATTATTGACTTAAATCTGTGCCAACAAGTGGATGCTGGATTAACGTTCAACAAAAAGGAGTTTGAAAACAGCTATATTTTTGATATCAACACTATAGACCGAGTTTTCTATTTGGTAGCGGACAGCGAGGAGGAGATGAATAAGTGGGTTCGATGTATCTGTGATATCTGTGGGTTCAACCCTACAGATGAGGGTAAGTTCTGTTACTTTTTCTGAGAAAGTGCAGTGCCTATGTGTGAGGAACATTTCAAAGATCAGATGACTATCTTTAGCTGGCATATGTTTTAAAACTTGTGTGTATTGGCATTGAAACTTCCTTGTTATCCTCAAAAAAAGTAAGCAGAACAGAGGGAGATATTCAGAATTTGTTACAAATTAAGTATGCCGTAGAACTTGGATGACGCTCTTCCATTCTGCGTGATGTTAAGTCTTGGGAGTGCAAGAAAAATCTCAAAGTACAATCGTGTACAGCAGTAAATCTTCATAATCACCAAAGGAGTCCCATTTGGTATAAAAACATATGGTTATACAAGCAGGAATGAGTGCAAAATGTCAGGTTTCTAATATTACCATTTCTCCCTCTGCTTTGAGACTCGGGGGAAAAGAAATCCACCCCCATCAGCTAAAACAAACAAAAAATAACCTGTAGCTTTGCACTATCCAACTCAAATCCTACCAAAATAGATAGTCTATGAAGGCAGCTTGTAGGAAGCATGATGGTGTGTTTAATTCCTTGGAAATACCTCGTGGCCATTGCTTGTCCTGAATCCATTCTTTTTTATTTACTTGTATTCCTGCATTCCTTTTGGAGATTAGTGGGTTACATGACTTGCTGTAGCTGGGTGCACAGTTCCAAGAAAAGATTAAATAGGAGTGGTAAGAAGGTTATACACAAGGCATGCCTGACTGAAGGGGCTAGAATTAAATTCCTGCTTTTTGTAGGATTGTGGATTGAGGGAGGTGAGGGAGAAAAAGGGACTTGCATCACTTTGCTCCAGCCAAATCTTCAAAGTGACTGGAAAATACTGTTGTGTTATGAAGAAGGAGCCCTTTCCTTTCTCCTTATTGCAGTTTTGAACTAGAACTTTGTTATGAAAATTTCATCTATGAATTGCTGCTCTAATGGCAAATTCAGGGAAGTTTGCTTCTTTTGACAGTTCCAGCGTGTTTTTGTGGCATCCTGAGCATACCCAGGACCCGCAGCACATCTCAGGGAGCAACTGCCATGGGATTCAGTGCTCAGCCTGCCAGGCATTCCTGCATTCCAGAGAGGTGTGGGCAGGGGGCAATGCACCAGCTATGGGCAGAAGTGCTGGTTCTGGGGATAAACTAGAAATCTGGGATCTAAGGAGGAAATGTGTTCACCTGGCAGCTCTTTGGCAGAGCACAAAGGAATACGTGTCCATTGCACGGAACAGAGAGATGGGGTCCCCTCAAAACCATCAGACCTTTCATCTGAGAGCTGGTGTATTGTTAGCCTGAGTTTTCTGTCACTGAACTAAAGATGAAACCTGTTGTGTATGTGGAGATAGTAACTATGCCCTCACAAACTGAGTTTTTGCTTCAGTCAATTGTATCAATAACTTCTCCCCAATGTACTCTCATTGCATGTTTCATCTTTGGCATTTTAGCTTTAGCTGAATTATTCCAACACCTTTACTTCACATGCCTGAGAGTTGATAGTACTGTCTATTTTATCAGTTTAGTGATGCCTTGCAGTGCATTGAGGAAGAATTAAAAAAAGGAAAGTGGGAAAATCAGTTGCTGAGTGTTTATTGACAAGTTCTTCTTTTTCTAAGATGAATCTTCCTGCCAATGGAAGAGCAGGTCGTAAATGTACTTTAAAAAAATATGTGTTCACCTGCAGCTTATTTTGAAAAGTTAAAGGACAGGTGAAGTTCAGATAGTAAAAACACACTATTATTTTAATTTGGAGCTAAACAAAAGGAGTATGCGGCATAACCAATCTATTACCTGTGGAAGCAGAAGATAGTTTTCTTTGAGGCTGGAAAAAATGTCTCTTGGCAGACTAATTAAGGACTGTTGTGAGTGTCCTCTTTGGCATTCATTGCTCAATCAAGAACTAGGAACACCATTGCCCTGTTGCTCCTTCTGGGGTTCATTTGGAAATCCAGGAACTTGTTTCCTTGGATTTATAAAGAAAATATTTGCAAGACAGCAGTGGCTAGTGCTATTAGAAAACAATTAGGGAGTTGTTGTTTTGGTGTTGAGATGAAAGAGGGAGAAAGAGTTGCTTGTAACTGTAGACAGACCAGAAAAATAATGCTCAGAGTAACTGTGAGCTGCTCCTTTCATACATAGCAGAGACTCAGCGATTCCTGTAATGTAAACTTTGGTCTATTTTTCATTAGAAATTATTTTGAGTACTCATTTTTACCTAATGCTTTGTTTTGACCTTCCAACTAGAAACTGATTTATGCATGTGAAATCTCTACATTGTGGAGATCTGCAATGTTACATTTGTATTTGGACAAAGTAGATAATTTATGTTCTTCAATCATATTTACAAGCATTGACTGTTCACATTTCTGGTTGCATCATAGTCTGGTGTAATCTGTAATGATTGCATGAGAATTACAAATATATGCAATATTTGGCTTTTTATAGGGACTTTCTTTTAAGAAAGGTTTCTCAGCAATTTAGGTATTTTAAAATTAAACAAGACAGAAACAGGAAGGAATTTTTATTTTAAATAAGGTAAATAATTATTTTACTTTTAAAAGTAAAATTCTGTGTAGTTTTTATGTTATCTTCAGCTAATGCTTCTTGTTTTCAAATGGAAGCTATAAAACATTCCTTTCTGTAGCATCTTTCTGTTTAAAACACATGTGCAAAGTTGAGGGGCACCAATGCATGAGCATTGGGTTTGGGTTTGCCACTGGGTTTCATACTGTGCTTTTAGTATTCATGTTTTCTCTGAAAGATCATGATATAAAAGTTCATCTAGAGATTAAAATGGAACTATAAGGCAAAAATGCAGCACTAGTGTTTCACTTTGAACTGTACTGAGAGACAATTGTAATGGAGAGACTGAATGGACCTGGTTGGTAATGGCTATTTTGTGCCTTCTGCTGTGGAGACATCCTCTGAAATACTTTCAGCAGGGTGAGGGTAAATGCTTAAAGAAAGGTAAAAATGGAGGAAATGTTTGGGTTTTTTTAAGTAATTGATAAGAAGAAAGGTTGAAGGATTTTTTTTTTCCCTGAGAAGAAAATACTGAGGGAAGAACTGACTTCAAAAAAACAGCTGGGATAAGCAGGACATGGATCCTCTCTTACCTGAGGAGAGAACTTGTTTTTCTCTCAATGAGTGATGTAACAATAAAGAAAACCCTTTGAAGGATATCTAAGCACAGTCCTTCCCTAGAAGGCATCTGTGATTAATGTTTTTTATGTGATCCAGCTCCATGTTTCTGTAATTTAGTGAATTGTGTTCTTGGCAGAGCAGGGAAAGGAGGAAATGATCTTACTAAATGCAAAGGTGTTACTTGCATGTATTCATTTGAATAAAGATAGCAGCAGCAAAATAAACCAGAAGAAATAACAAGGTAGAGAAGACAAAAAAAGGGAAGAACAAGACATTGAAATCTACAATTACATTTACATAAATAATAAAATGTGAAAAAAGTTTCTGTCATCTTAAGGACCATGCATTGAAGAAGCTGCAGCTTGTTTCACACATGATGCTTTCAAAGTTTCTTTTCAGGCTGCAGCTATCTGGTATATGTCTTCATACCTTTTTGCCTTTGGAACAATAAAATTTTATATTTGCTTTTTTAAAATGATGTTCTGATAATCCATGCACTGCAAGTTGAGCACAGCTTCAGTGCAATATCAGAGACTGACAGGATGAACATAACTTCACCTTCCCATCCTGACTCCTTGTCTTTGATAAATAAATAGTGGGTGCTGGAGGTATTTAGGGTGCCCTTCCTGCATGAAGGGTCTGCCTGTAAGAAATAAAAAACATTCTTCTTTGACAGCTTTAACAAGTTCATGACAGAGCCTAGCACACGTGGCAAAGCAAAATTGCCATCCCAATAGCGGCAATTTTGATATGTTCAATATTTTAATATTCAAGACCTTGGTCATTAAAGGGCTCAAAAGTGAGGAGAAATAGCTGAGCTTCTAGATGAAGGAAGGGAGGCTCTGAAAGAGCATAAAGGGAAGTGCAAGGACAAAGTAATAAGCTTAAAAAAAATCACAACAAATTTGCTCTATGGAGATGATGTACTTAATGAAGAGTTGAGGCATTTTTCTATCTCTCAGATATGATTAGCTAGAAAGAATTGTTGGCTCAAAGGTGACGTGCCAGAATGATGAGTGACTGATGACCTGGAGCGCAGTAAAAAATAACAAAAGAACCAAGTTAAGCATTAGGAGAAAAATCCCCCAGAGAAGGGTCATGGGTCAGTTGTCACAGACGTGAGGCAGAAGGTGCAGAAGGAATAATGGCACAAAGGCATCTGTTTTATGAAGACTTTTTTAGTTGCTTATTTTGAGTAAGCACCTACAGAAGTTAGTCTATAACACGACTCCCTGATTATATTTCCTGTGTCACCCAGCCTATGTGCCATCTCAAGATGGGCAAAACAGGCTACAGATGTTTCCTTATTTCTCCTTTTAAATGAATAGGCTTCAAAACAAAGTTGCAGGTGGAGAGGGGGTGTCAATTCCACGTGCAAATGCTTTTGAGATTTTCAAATTTTAAATGGGTAGTGAAAACTACAGCTTAAAATTACACATGACCTGCAGATAGCAAGAACTAAATTTTAGATGTTAGCTCTGAAAGATGAAAACTTCAGCATGTGATGGAACCTGGAGCAGTTGGTTGTGTTTCTGGTTCAGATGCAGGAGGCATAATGTGTGAAGCTGAATTCTTCATTCCTTAAAGAGGGTATCATGTTTATCTTCAGAAGGAGAGAGATACTGTGAGATTATATTAAACTAAGAAAAGAAACCTATGAAATGCATAGGAAGTTTTTATTAGAGCATTTTAAAGGACTTTCTCTAGCTGTAGCAGAAAGGTTCAGTATGGAGCTTTACTGCATAGATTTCATATTGATGCCGAGCTGATCACTTAATGCCAAATCCCAAATCCATGCTCATATGTCTGTGTCCCTTCTGGGCTGGATCTGGCTCTCATCTATTGAGATGTATCTCATCTATTCTAATGTGTGAATAGCACAAGTACCCACCAGTATACATGTGCTTGTGCTCCGTGTGTGCATGTGTGGCCCTTTGATTCCAGGATCTCTCAAACAAAGTTCTTTTAAGGCTTCAGGTGTAGTTATGAGGTGTTTATTTGGTGGGTTTTTTTAAATTATGGCTCTTACTATTGTGTCTGAAATTTTGGGCAAGGTTATTGCTCTGATATTTTGTTGACCACTGGTTATTTTAATAACACATGCATTGTAGTAAGTTGATGGAATGAAACATCTCAGAAGCATAGAAGAATCATGCCATTGCACATCTGTAGCTGATTCACTGTTGCAATGGAAAAATCCCATTTCTGTTTTCATATTTCTACCTACAATGTGCAAAGAAAGCATTATCTTACTTTGATGGCAATTTTGACATTTAAAGAAATGCATGCTGTAATGAGGCCTCTGTGTTTTGTTCACTATGAGAACATTTCAAGTTTTTGCATAACTAGAATATTGAGACTGTACTTCATAGCGTAGAAGACAATTTAATTTTTGCTTTCATTAAAAAACAAACAAACACCACAACATAAACCCAATCCTAAATAGAAACTCCCACACTCAGATTTTCTAGGTTGTACACAAAGCACAGATATGTAGGAACTTGAGGAATAAAGTAGCTTTATATATTTAAGAAGGAAGAAAGTGAAATATTTTATTATTCTTGTTCAGAAAATGCTCTTTTTACATCATAAATTTTACAAGATATGAAAATAGTTACAAAGAAAAAAGTATAAATTTTAGTGAAAATGAAGCCTATAACTATTCATAACAAGCCAACTGAGAAAAGATAAACCTCTTGCCCTGTTTTGAGAAAGCTGATTGTTCTAGCTGTACTGAATGCGGGAATTATTAAAACAAAATAGGATTCTTGTTAGACTCATTTGCATGTTAAATTTTCTGGCTGTTTTTCCAGCTCCCAGTTATTTCAAAGCAGTCTGAGTGTCCAAGCTCTGGGAACAAACCAAATTACTTACAACACTCTTTGGTGTGCAGATGACCCCTTCCCTAAAAATCTGCTAGTCCAAAGTGGAGCAAGTTAATGATTGTACTCTTTGAAATCCTAAATGGCTCCTGGGAGAGCAACTTTCCTTCATATCAGCTTCAGGAGTACTTGGCTGAAGAGAATATTTGAGAGGGTTCAGATAGGCAATGAGCCTTCATTTGCTCAGTGATTAACATTACTTCTTCCCCTGTAGTCAAATTTGAAATGGCATCAATGCATAAAGCAGATCTGAAGTGCTTTAGACCAAATTCAGTAGATTTTTCAATCTGGCATTAGCCCACATTATTTAACATATACAAAATGCCTGTATGAGGATGCAATTCAGATCAGAAAGTTGGTATTTTAATAGTTAATGCTCTATATGCTGAAAAAACCAAACCAAACAAACCTCAACCAAACCACATGAACACCAATCTCAAACAAACCCCACACAGATCTGTAGGAGGATCAGGGATTTTATCAAGCATTATCTGTGTCAAAATAAATGAGACAACTCATCAGAAGGAAAGTGTCCCTAACAATCCATTAACATTAATGGGCTCCAAATCCTTGGTCAGAGAACAGATCATAAAGCTTCCATACAGCTGGATAGCGTCACCTTGAATATTCAATAAGAATTGGAGGGGAAAGGTTAGGAAAGGAACAGAATTAATCACTGTTATGTCTTTGTAAATCAGTGTGTCCCAGACTTTTTTGGGTGCTTTGTGTGCAATAGTTAGTTTCTCTTCTCAGGAAAGAAAAAGTATCAGGGCTAGGAAAAGTGAGGGTAAAGGGAAACCAGATGTGCAATGAAATGGCTTCTGCACCAGGAAAAGTTAAGCAGTACCAACTCAGTAAAAACTAGAATAAACTTGTGTAAAGTTGGGAATGGAAATTATGAATAGGACGCAATTGTTCACAGTTTCTTTGAAGATGAGAGCTGAAATATATCAAGTGAAGCTATCAGGCAGCAGGTTTAAAAGGAAGTGGGCTTTCATATCACGTGTAATAAGGTGTGGACCTCACTGCCACAGAATGGTAGTAAAGGTCAAAAATACAAAGGCATTCAAAGAAATAGGAGAAATTCAGAGAACAGCATGTCAGAGGGTAAGTCAGCAGAGGCTCTGGAAGCAGCCTTCTTCTTGGATGCCCCAGGAGCTGGAGCAGTACATCAGACTTTGTGGATACATTGCCCTCTTTCAAAATTCTTGATTTTATTTTTCCCTGGAAAGTTACCCTTGAGATTTGCTACTTTTCCTGGGAATGCTAGTGCATGGTCTGTTTAATTACATCAGGTCACAGAGACATCTTACTGGGTACACGTTGGGCTCTCCTGACTGCAGGAGGGCTGACTGACACACCCATCTTCCCTGGAAGCCCCAAGGATATCCTGCTTGATGGCTTTTTTTTTTTTTCCCCTCCTATGAACTTGGCACCGAGTAGTTACAATGACATGAAGCTTTTGCATCGCCAGGCCCAGGAATGGCGTGGACACTGTGGCACAGGAAAGCTCTTGAGGATCTCATCTTTAAGTGTGGTCAAAAGATGATGTATTTGGCAGGAAACTTTTCTTTCCCACACTTCCTGGGGCATACATCTGCTTGTATTCTTCAGTTCTGCAGGGGGCAGGACAGGGAGCTGTTTGTCCTTTCTCACACTGCCACTTTTCCAAAGTACAAAAAGTACATTCCTGGTAGGTCCATTCAGGCACTTCTCTGTTCTTGCTGTTGTACCCCTGCATTAGGGGACTCAAGAAACATTAGTAGGTGCCTCAAAGAGGCTCCTTCAAGATCTTAAATTTCTTAAATGATAGAAAATTGTTCATGTTTTATATTTAAGCATGTAGAAAATAAACTACTTCTTTAGTAGCTTTTGCATCCGAGTGCTTTTGTATTTGAAAGGGAAAAAAAATTACTCTAATATACAAATAAATAGGAAGTGCATAGGAATTATAAAGACAAGGATATTTAAGTAAACATTGGCTATTTTAAGTTTTTTTTTTTATTTAACAGTTTTCAGGTAACAATGTAATGAATTTTACCTTTTTTCCCCCCATTTTTCTAAGCCATAGGATGTGGTTTAGGAATATGTGTTTCAAGAAATGTAAATGTATAAAGATTTTATTAATTATAAACATCTCTATACTGTTATTTATCTGGCTGCATCAATTTATTTTTATGTGTGTGATCCCTCAATACAGTCTGTTTATTTCCTTTCTTCTTCTAACTAGTTTGATGAATAGGTCAGCCCCAACCCTTCATAAGAACCTTTTTTAGGTTATCCTACCTTTTCAGGTAGGTTGAGTTGAGGAATTTTCATACACCTAGACTTCTTTCAACTACATGGGCGTGGTGGAATTTAATTTCTGAGCCTGTTTAGGTGCCATGGGAGTTCAAAGCAAGTACTGCTATTTCTATTTCCATGTCTAGATCACTTGAACTTGGTGTACACAGAACTGGAAGCAGGAGGGCTGTGTTCTGGGCTGCTCATCTGTTTTTTCCTAGGATAGTGCTGAATGAAGCTACTGTGTAGTACATAGCTGGCCTGTAAGGCTGACAGGAGCAGGAGCATTGGATAATAATATGTTCATTTAAACAATGCTAATAATCAGCATCCATTCTTGGGATGTGCAATTTGGAATGTACAATGAGTTGCAAGCGAGCCTTGATAACTGGGAAATAGTATGCTTAATTATGTTGTTCTTAGTCAATGTGTTATTAAAACAATGAAATAGCCAAATGATTGTTTAATGTTTGATGATGTCAGTATTTTCTAGTCTCCCAGATAATTTAATAGTCTGGATATATGTATTTGGATGGAAAAAAGAAGTAACTTTAGTATATTTGTGGATAGGAAGTGGATAAGTATTCTAGAGATAAGGTTGTTTTTAAAAAAAGAAAACCACACTGCAACACCTCCCCCCACCCCAAAAGAAATCCAAACTAAGCCAAAACAAAACAAGAAAAGGAAACCAAAACCAAACCAAACCACAACTGCTTCATTTCTTGCACAACAATAAAAAAATTAGGGTATGTAATCAGGGGGCTTATTGGAACATGTTACTTGTTGTACCTTTGCATTATTTTTGTAGTTGTAAAGAATCTTCCATTGCCAAAGCAGCAGTTTTCCTATTGATGTCCAGATATTGAGAATGGCCAGGTCTTGGCCTGGTGACTAATCTCAAACCTTGAAGTGACCTTGGTCAAAAAGGAAAAAAGACTCAGGCTGCCATGTTCAAGTAACAACTTACGGACTTCTGCCTGCTTTTGATTAAAACAACAGATTTATGTTTTTAGCTGTATTACCACAGCTGTCAACATCTTTGTTCTTTCTGTGGCCAGAAAGCAGGTTAAATAAGTCTTTAAATAAGGCAGAACCTCTGTTTCAAAGGCTTACTTAAGAAATTTATTGCAGTTTGAAAAGATAAAGATTGATATATAAATGTAAATACCCTGAAACAAATGTTATCATCCAGATGTTCTCATGTCCATTTTCACAAATTTGAACTAAAACCTGAGATTTTTTTCATCCTCTGTTAAGAATTTTCTTAATGTTGAAGAACTATTTCTCACTGTATAAAGAAATCTTTGCTTCTGTGTTTGCAGATGCTGTGAAGCCACCAGTTAGTTCTTTACAACCATCTGCTGAGTTACCCTTGCCCATCAACACTTCACTGCCTTCCATGCAAGCAGAATCTTCCCTTCCTTCTCCTTATCGGCTTATTAACGTCCCCCCTCTGGAGTCTTCCTCTGGTCAAGAAGATCCTCAAGACTACTTACTGCTAATAAACTGTCAAAGTAAAAAACCTGAACCTATGAGGTAAGTGACTTTTGTTTCTTAATAACACTTATTTGTATTACAGGCCAAGAGTGTTTGTGCTGAATGCATTTTTTTATTGCCAAGACATTGAGCATTTGGGTGCACGTATCTACACAGGGAAGCTGCCAGTAACTTTTCCTTCTTTTCATTCCATGCATAGACCTTTTGCTGCAATAGTTAGTTATTTGATCAGTGTTATATTGCATTCTTCAGAAGTGTTGACAGCAATTGCCAACATGAAGTATCACAGTGATGGAGCAATTCAAACATTACGTTGGAGCTTGGAGTGATGCATGGTGCAAAATACCCATTCTTTAGCCACAATCTGGTGTGCTTAGTCCAGTTTAGTACTAGAAAAAGCTGGAGGAATTTATCCCTTCTCCCTCCTGGCATTTGGTTCCCTGGTTTTGCCAGTTAAAGTTCTCATGGAAGGGGTTTAGAAAACATGCTGACCTGCCAGGTTACCACATCACTGAGTACAGTGATCTTCAAGTGATATTTGTTTACTATTGCTAGCGTGGTTAAGACTCTCAAACAAGAAGAAAACCCAGTTATTTTATGATAACTAAGAATACAGAGGCTGAAACCACGCAGTTTCCATATCCTGAATTTTAGTTTTTTCCAAATAACAGATACTTAAAAGGAAACTCAAATAAGCTTTATTTTTTTTACTGAATAAAGAGTGCCTACACATTCAGTTCTCTAGAGAAGTGTGCAATAGGAAATTTGAAGGAAAATTTTGGAGGAAAATTTTGGGACTTCTACAGAATTAAATCTCTATTTATGTCTCCAGCTGCTACTTCTAATTTAAATAAATCCACAGCACCTCCTGCATAGGAGGATGTGATATTCATAGTAGCTACCTGGGAAATATCACTATGGTTTGCCAGAATGGATCATGGTGGCCTTTCTTAGAGCAGGCTGTCCAGAGACATACTGGAGTGTCTGTCCCCCTTAAAAAAAAAAAAAAAAAAAAAAAAATTAAGAGAACCAAAAATGAACTTGACTGGACAAGCTCCTGAGGAGCCTCACCTGATTTTGAAGGGTTTGCTTAGAGGTATTAGAAAAGCTGAGCAGATAATGTCCAGAGGTTCCTTCTGACCTTGAACATTCTGTAGGAGAATCTTATAAATCCATCTGACAAGCTTCTATTCTGCAGTAATTTAAAATAAGATTTTCTGGGCTATTTGCAGAAAAATTATCAAAATATCATATTATTTTTGTGATAATAATAATTATAAATTAACAAAACATCATATTATTTTAGTGACAAGTACATGGAAGATTGAGGGAAGCTTCCTTTGAGAGTGTTTTCATAACTATTTCACATGCATCCTTAGGGCCATACCTTCTAGTGGCAGTGCCTTCTGCATCAACACCTTGATAATCCACCAGTTTTACCCGTGCCATGTGCTCTGTGCTCCCTTGACATTTTTTATCTTGCTCTCTTATGCCTGAGGAGTTTCCTGCTCCATTTACTGATGATTATGTGGTAGTAAAGTATCCACCCTTTACAGTCTTCCTTATAAAACAAGGGAATGAGCCTACAGTTCCCCCAGAGTATGGAATGTGTAGGTTACAGGCAGCATGGAATGTCCCAGAACCTCCTGCAAAGGAAGGGGAAACACAGTGTTGAAGGTTTCAGTGTTTAGTGATGTTGAAAAGCTGATAGTGCTGAAGGGGAATGTTCAGTGTTCCTGCCAAAAGCTTTTAAGTTTGGTATGACTTCCAGAACAGCTTGGCAGAGGAATTGACTTGGATTTCAGCAACCCTGGCCTATCAGAAATGTGTCTGAGTGATTTGCTTCTGTGAGGGACAGGCTCAAAGCAGAGTTTTACCACCACAACTTGAAGGTGTTTTTAGGAATTATGAAGGTTGAGATGTATAATTGACTTTCTGACCTGACTTCCACAGTTATGTGATGTGTGGGTTAAGTAGAGGCTGAGGAGACCATAGAAGGGGCCACAAAATAGAAGGGCAAAGTAGAGAGTCCATGATTAGCCTGCAAAATTTCTCAAGGATGACACAGGGGAGAAGGTACTGGGGAAGGCAAAAGGCCCGGTGGCAATAAAATGCCTAGTGAACTGAAAGAATGGAACAAAATCTTTGGGAGTGTGCAGATTGTTTAAATAAATTATGGCATTGTAGGAATATCTGAAGACATTGACACTTGCATATTACATGAGCTTAGTTTATTTTCTGTAACTAAATAGCTGTGTCCTTTCATTAGAAAGGCTGTGATCTTGAAAATTCAGAATAACAGTTGTGCTGAACTTTTAGTACCACCTAAAAGGGCTACCTATGTTTTATGTCTGGTAAAGTAGGTAAACTGCTGCATTTGAGACAGAGCATAGAGCACATTGACATTTTCCTATGGAATGAGAGCTTTGTGCATCTCAGTAGCACATTACTGTGATTAGTAGGAGTGCACTCTACCCCAGTCCATATCCTTAGAGGCAAAGAAAGAAAATTAAATGGCTACATCATTTTCCTATTTTCCAGGCTTGGAACAATTTATCTGTGTATTTCATAGAGACTTAGTGTAAAGTGCAAGGCTTAATAGCTGTAATTAAACAGGCAGGTACTGTTAGTTAAATGTTTTCCCTTTAGACTTAAAAATTACCAATATGCAGAAGGAACATTTTCTGTTCTGATTCTGCATGTTACTTTACAGGTAATCTGGGAACCACCAAATTTTATTTCAAGGCTTTGAGGTTCTTTTCTGGATGAGATGGGTCTCTCTGAAACATAGATGTATCTGAGTCACCTCTTTGGGATTTTTGAGAATTCTAGTGTTTCAGACCTAGAAAAGAATTATTAAATGTTCCATTATAGTGTCACAAACTGCACCACATGCTGTTGTGAGAATATCTTGTATGCAGCAATTGCAGTTGTAACTATCACATGCAGTATAGTTTCATGCTCTGATCACTGCTGACAAGAAAAAGTATTGTTTCACTGTAGCATTTAGGGAGATTCTAAGGTTGTATTTGGATCCTAGATAGGAAAATGCAGCCAAACATTACTTCCAAATCCCTTATTGTTTTGGGTCATTTGATAGGTGTATCAAAATAATAAATGCTGTCTTCCTCATCTTTTATATTGTGTATGAACCAGCCAAGGATCACCTTTTATCTCAGAAGAAGGGCAGGAATACCTGCTATTAGAAGACTTTGAAAGTAAAAAGATTCCACTGCAGTGAGTGAACAGTAGCCATTCTTGGAACACGTGTGAGAAATTAATCACAAAGCCATTAACTTGCCTGAAAATATTGTTTGTTTGACACTCATCCTGCATGGTGTTTTGTGAGTTTTAACAGAAAAACTATATCACTTTTGCTTCCATTTTCTGAAAAGAGGTCTGGATGTTATTTATTTTTATGTCCATCCTGTTTCTTCTATGCTTGCTGTTGCTGTCCCAGCTTGCTGGCACACAAGAGCAATTTTATTGCCATTTTGTTTATAATATGCTGTTTAATCAGTCATATTGATTCCTGTAGATGGGAAAAGAATCAGCTGAAAAAAAAGAGTGGTCAAGCCAGCCCAAATACTTTATTTGCAAAAATGAGGTGATTACCTCTCAGACTAAAACACTTGATAAACCTTTTTCCTGGGCCTGGAAGGAAATGGCCAGTCCTAGCACTGAGAAAGGGGTAGTTTGGCCACTTAGCATAATTTGCACATATGTGATACACACATATGATAACACTGAATTCATATAATAGTCATTCTCTGCTAATAAAGTGAGGAGTTATTGTGTTACATCCAGCTTTGCCATTATTTTAAATGGAGGTGTAAAAACCCTTTAATACTTATCATAATAACAGTTTGCTACTGGAATATTTAAGCCAATTCATTTTTTTTATTGAGCTGTACTAAAGGGGAAAAATTGTAATTCCTGAAGTATAGACGTCATTAAAAAAAAAATATCCTGTCAGCTATGCACGGTACATTTTCAGAATTATATATGGTGTTCTTATGATCAGTGGTTAATGCTGACTTCTAAAAATAGTTAAAATTCTGAGGCTGAATTCTCTGACTTCATTTTGGCATAAACTGCTTTCTTTGTTTCAGAGTGTCTTCAAACTTTCAGTTGTGCAAAATCAAATTGCTTACAACCCATTCATATTTTGAAAACTATTTCAGTAGACTAAGATGTTGATTCCAAAAGATGACTTTCAAAAATGTGAATTAAATCAGAAATGCCCTCTTGTAATAAGAAATGTAAGCTGTTGCCAACAACTCAGCAAATTACAGACCTGGCTGCCTCATCTATCATGGGTTTTGAAAACCTTCTGTTTGCACAAGTGCTTGGAGTCAGAAAAGAAGCATCATTCACATAGACCCAGAAAACCTCCTATATTTAAAAAGGATAGCATTTGTTTCTTGCATTTCATGGGTAATCCTTAGGCTCTGGCATTGTAAATATGCTGTTGTTTCTTTCTGAGCTTTGGTTATATATTCCTGCATGTTTTTGTAAGATAAATGTAGTGGTTTTGTTTTATTCCTGTAGTTTTAGTTTGTTTTTGTTTTTTGGTTTTTTTTTTCTTTTAAAGTATATCCTAGTGAACTGGAACTAATAACTTTGGTTCTGCAATTGATTTTCAGTGTCCAACTTCTGTAGACTGCCCACTTTATTTTTATAGTATAAAAATTAGAGATCCCAGTTCTTGCTGTGTTTGAAAAACACTTGACTTTTTCTGGGATTTTGGTCTAAATGGATATCATAGAACTAGGAGAGTACATTTAGAAAGTGAGGAACTCCTTAATAAATCCTTTGCATAAAGAGGAAGGGCTGCAGCAGGGGCTGAGCTCAGTGTGCATCTATTATGCACTCTTTAAACTTTAAACTGTGCTTCCTTCAGTCCTGTGTGCTCTATACTTTGCAAGTGTTTTAAAGTCCTAGTGGTTCATGCATGAAATTTAAAGTTCTGACGCAAAGAGCTCTGAGGCAACTGTTAAGAAACAAGAGAAATATATATCCATGGTCAGCATCATGAGGAATGTAGAAAGTTTTATGTCCTTGGTTGTGCCAAGAACAAATAATAATCTTCTTTTGAGGGGGGTCGATTAAACTAAATGCAGATTAAAGTTCAGAGTTACCTAGAAACCAGTTCTGACCAGTGACAGAACTGAAATCTAGTAACCAGAGATTACTAGAAGTTTCGTAACCAGAGCAAAATTACTATACTTTCTCTAATGGGAAAAAATGCTAAAACAATAAGAATAAGCTGATAGGAAAAGGTGATGAAATTCAAATGAGAACTGTCATAAGACAGGCGTCCTGATGGAAGATTGTATCTTTGCTGTTAAACAGAACAAAAACAGTTGGTGAGGTGAATGACATTTCTCTTGAGTGCAGATGTCCATTCCAAGCTGATCATGTTGGTTCCCTGATGGCTGGAAGAGAGGCACTTCTGGGGATGATTCATCAGGTTTAGATACATATCTAAGAAGAACAGACTGTGTTTCACACAGTCTCCATTCTTCTGATGACTGGAGAGGGAACCTAAATTAATAGCTTAACTGGATTCCTTTTTCCTCAGGTTGCCAAAACTCTGGGAGATAAATCCAGCCGGCCCTTAAGAAAATTTTTACAAACTTATTGACAAATGAAATGTGAATTATAAATATTGGTCGTGATCACTTTGAGGTGCAGAGCCTGTTAAATAAGGAGGAAAATGCTTCTTGTGATAGTGGGTGTACTTTATGTATTTTATTCCTCAAAACTTTTAGAACTGTGTAGTCCAATTGCTTAATAGAGCTTACTAAGGTATTGCAGGTATTCATTGATACACATGCGTGCTGAAATATTTACATATGCATGCAAAAAATAACACAATGGTATTGTATTGAGATAATGAAAACAGGAAATGTGGTATGTTTGATCAAAAAGTGTATGGGCTTCCTTAACTGCACCACTAACATTGCTAGTGTTAGTATTTTGCCACTGTTTTGACTTTCATTTAAGCAAGGAGCCAGACTGATAACAGAATTTCTCTGCCTGGAGCACAGTAAATGGAGATGTTTAGAAAGGAAATAAATTTATTGTAATGTGGTTACTTTCCATGTAAGTTTACTCGTAGTGCTTAATATTAGTACTAATGAGTGCTGTTCTCATAGAAGAATTTCTTAAGAAATCAGAAGTGAACTGCTTTGCAGCTTTATCTAACAACACCACCTTCATTTGCATTCAAGACAAAAGCTCTATGTTGCACATGCAACCTAGGGATTTTTTTCCCTCAAAGACCATACTATTTTCCTCCTATTTATGATTTTATCTCTTATTTCTCTTTTCCTCACATATTTCAAATGGGTTTTATATGATTAATATAACTTCAGGCATGCATTTAGGGGGGTTACAAGCAGTCATAATTTTTCTCTTAACATTTTTTTCATTATTAGAATGAATAAGTACTGTAAGTCCAAGAATTGAGCATCTTATTTTTTTACCTTTAACAGTGCCAATAAAGTGTTACTAGTTTGCAGCATGGGTTTAAAAAAATTATTAAAAAACCTCCAGCCCCCAAACTTGGCTTCAAACTGGCATCCTGAAAATCACTAGCTTTATGAAACATCAACCTGTTGTGAAGCTGTTGGTAAAGATCCACAGTTGTGCTATATATTTCACATGCATGAATTTGTATGAATGTAGTTACTTAGAATGCCTAGGTACTCCTGTTTGTTTAATAATTGAGTTCCTGCATCTCATTTTAAAAAATGAAAATAAAAAAATTGGAAGACACCGGTAGATTTTTTTTCAGTTGGTTACATGATAAGCATAGTGTTTATGATTTGCAATGTTTGTTTTTCTCTGTGTGTTCATCGATGTTCTAATCTCACAATCTCACGTGTAGATCTCATGCTGACTTTGCAAAGTCCAGCTCTTCAGAAACAGACTGCAACGATAACCTGCCCTCCCACAAGAACCCCGCTGCAGCAGGGAGCAAGCAGGCTGTGAACGGCTTCTTCCCGCAGCAGGGCGTCTACGATTCCCCACCTTCCCGCTCCGCGCTGACGCTGGCAGACTCCAGCCTCTACAACCTGCCCAGGAGTTACTCCCAGGATGTTTTGCCCAAGGCGGTGTCTCCATCTGGAACTGATGCCGAAGGAGAGCAACATGTTTTCAATACCCTGTCAGCAACGTCATTAGACACACAGATGAGGCACATCTCCATTAGCTATGACTTTCCCCCCACACCTGGAGGTACTTATCAGATCCCACGAACTTTCCCAGAGGGAACATTGTCTCAGACTTCAAAACTGGAGACTATTCCAGACATCCCTCCACCTCGGCCGCCCAAACCTCACCAGGCAGCAGATCGATCTCCTGTGGAAACCTGTAGCATCAGTCGCACTGCTTCAGACACTGACAGCAGCTACTGCGTTCCTGCCGCGGGAGTGCCGCCCTCGCGCAGCAACACCATTTCAACAGGAGATCTGAATGTCTTCCGGAAAGGTCAGTATTCCATCTGCTAGCCCTGCAGAATTTTCGTCTTGAGCTATGTGATCTGAATGATACGAATGGGCTGAATAACGTGAGGGGCATTTCTAGCCCGTAGGAGCAAGTGTTTAGCCCCTCACAAAGTGGTCTGTGTTCACTATGTTTAAAATATATTAGAAAGAGGAACAGAGATTTTTAAAGGAAACCGTCAAAGCAACAAAGCACAGAATATCCATAAGGGATGTATACTGCACTGTGGCATTCAGCCTTAGCTAAAAATATTTGAAGATCTAGACATGTTAGTTTGGTAATAAGCTCATATAACTGAATGCAATACTACCATTATCAGTCTTTCAGAATTACCAAAGCGAGCTTAGTGAAGTGTGGTGCAATCTACAGAAGCTAAAATTGTTTCATGAAGATCAGTGGGATATGTGTATACCCAGGTGTATACCCAGAGCTTTGAGATCAACCCTGATTTTATGATCATTGCCACCAGCCTTTCTTTCTGTCCATGTGATAGATATACTTACTGCAGTCTTTTAGTAAAATTAAAGTTGTTCCTTGTGGCCACCTAAATGTTGGTACTCCAGATGCGCTGTCGTGTGTATTGTCTTGTTAACCACTCTTGGGCTAAGGGTTTCAATTTCAGATTTCTGAAGCAGGTGGTTATTACAGTATTGTTTTGAAAGCAAAATTTTTTATTGGTTTAAGTCAATATTTATGTTACAGATTATTTTAAAGGAGAATTGTTTGAAATGGGGGATGAATACAAGGCTTTTAGGGGAGGCAATATACAGAATGGATGGGATCATACAGATGCTCAGATACTACTGTCATTCATTTTCTAGACTGAGCATAAAATATTGATGTTTGTCAGTGTTTTAAAATTACAAGTGAACACTATGAAAGATCCTTGTTTGCTCTGCTTATTTTCCCTCATGTAGTATTTTTCCCATGTAAAACCACCACTCATTTTGCTAAGTTTATAGGTGAGTATTCCTATACTGAATCTGAGATTGTCTGCCTCAAGAAAATGAGTCTTTCTGAAAACATAGTTTCAATTTGGTACTTAAGAGCAGGATTGTTTATCTTTCCTCTGTAATGAAAATCTTAAAACACTTCAAAGGCTTTTTTCAGGGCAAGGTGGGGATAAACCCCAGAGTTTGCCCAGTTTCTGTGCTGGCATCATGAGGAGGGGCATCCCTGCCACAGGGTAAGGCTGTGCATGCATGGATAAGCAGCAGATAACCTGCTGCATGCATGGATGAGGAGCACCTGGGAGCCAGGAGTCTCGCAAAGAACCAGCCACAGAGCCAAGGAACCTGCTTAGTGGGGACTGCCAAGAGCCAGGACTCCAAAAAGGGAGAGGTCTTTGGTTTTGCAGCAGTTCACTCCAACAGAAAGCCCCTGGAGACCACACTGGGAAGCTGAGAGAAGGGATGCACCTGTTCCTGCAACAGATGGGATCCTGTTGAATCAGCACTTTCCAAGCAAAGGGCATCAGTCAGAAAACCTTTCTCCAGACGTTAAACTACATCTGTTGTTTGTTTGCTTTAGAACAGGTTTTTCATGAGAGCCCAGATTCTCACTCATTGCACTAAGTTCTTACACATGCTCAATTGAAAAATAGACTCTGCTGCTTCTTTAAAAGCAAAAATTAATTTCTCTTTTCTTGCCATGGAAAAATGCCACTGTGAGTGCTTCAAGTTGTAACTGATGAGTGCTAAGGTTGTCTGTGAACGCAGTCCTTTCAAATATAGATAAATGTAGGGGTTGCAGCTTCAAGAGGTGTGTTTGTGTACTCTCAGAAGCAGACAATAAATAACAATAGACTCTGGATGCCTGTGCCAGGTGACAGGAACAAGGGTGATAAATAGCTACTTTCTCTTCTTGTTTCTTTAGAAATTAGTTCTCAAGACTGTTATGATATTCCACGAACGTTTCCGAATGACAGATCTAATTCATTGGAGGGTTTCCATAACCACTTCGTAAGTATAACTTGATCTGATGAGAGGCAACAGTGACAGTGCTTGAATGCTCTTTGTTCCTGTGTAAGAAAGCAAACTGTGCAGTGTTTGTGATTTTTCACTTTCAATAGAATACATTAATCTGAATAGATTAGGTTAAAAGGCTCATATGATTCACAGCTGATTGCATAACTTATTTTGTTAAAGGAAATATATGTTAATTCTAGAAACACAGAAGCATGTTGACAGTGGGAAGTGTTTCAAGTGAAGAACTAGATGAAAATTATGTCCCAATGAATCCCAACTCTCCTCCACGACAGCATTCCAGCAGCTTCACTGAACCCATCCAGGAAACAAACTATGTACCAATGATACCTGGCACATTTGATTTTCCATTGTTTGGAAAGCAAGTCCCTCCTCCTGCTCACATGGGTTTCAAGTCCAGCCCAAAGACCCCTCCCAGACGGTCGGTACCTGCTGCAGAATGTGAGCCACCGCCCGTGGACCGGAACCTCAAACCAGACAGAAAAGGTGAGGAAAACCTCCAAGAAAACTTAATTTTTATCATGTAGGAAAATAACATCGCTCTCTCAACTTCTGCTTAGAGGAAAATTATCATGTTTTTAGAAATAATTTTAGAAATAATTTTTGTCCTATGAGATAACCAAATCACTGAGGAGCCACAGGATTATTTTTAACATTATTAAAACATCAAAATAACAATGCCAAATAAAAGAATAGGTTTAGATTTTATTGCCATACTTACTAATGAAAAAATGACACTGAATTCCTAAGATTCAGAAGTGTGTCCTTGTATATAGAAGACACTTGTGATGCAGGAATAAAACACAAGGCATTGGGTAGAACACAAATTTAAAGCCATAACAATGCTTGGTACATGATCAGCATACATACTCATTTTAGAGGGCCCCTTTGAATCTATCCTAAAAAATTAATCTCTTAAATCTGGCACATAATGTGTTTATTTTTCCTCAAAATAAGGGTTATTTGGGTGACCAGAATTCTTAAGGAACAAGATGATTAGGTTGCAATGTGTCTTTAAGAGCTACTCATACAGAGAATCCCTAATAAATAGCTTGTATTTTCCAGTTTACCTAAAATGTTTTATCAGCCATATTACTAGAAATACAGGCAAATGCTTAAAGAACTTGCTTCCCTACTAAGTTTTTGAGACAAGATTACTAACTTTTTTGTAGAAGACGGAACTAAACAACATCAGGTCAAATGTCTGCTCTATTTTGCATTTGAGCAAGTCTTATTTGTAATCTTATGTACTTGAAAATATTAGTATTTACATTGAGAATGGCTGACTTCATTGTAGGAAAGTGTAATGGCTAATATTCAGATGATCCAAAATATTCTCTAACTAAACCTTTAAATTAGTATTTTTACCACTATGTGAAAACCGTATGTAATTAAGGGAAGTAGAGAGTTAGCACTATGATAGATGAGCTGTGTGCAGTGGAAAGCACCATGTCACATTCCGCCTGCCCATCTTCAAAAATTGAGGCATTGCCTTTTTTAAGCATTGCCTTCTTAGCCCTCTGCTTGTGTCTAGTTGTTTCTGTGTTATCAGCCAGCAGTTTTGTTTGCTTCTTAAGAAATACTGGACAGGAAGAGAGAGATGAAAGTTGATACTGGAAAACATTCTGAATTCAGTTCAGAATAAACTGAACTGAACTGAACCAATTTAAAATATCTTCCCAGACTGGCCAGTTTGTGTATTTTACTGATAAAATATTTGACCTTCAAAAGTAATAAATGCATGTGTTGAAAAGCATCTCACTTTTGCTGTTGGCAGCGCAAAACTGCCATACAGATGTTTGCTGGGGCAGCATTATCGCTCTTGAATCTCTCTTTTTGGAACAGAATTAGTGTTTTACATTTAGAAAGTGGCAAGCAAGAGCCTGCTTTGCTCCCATCCTCAAATGCCTTATGGCTAGAAAGATGTAGCTAAAACCACGGGAAGGACTTTAAGATGTGTTAACATACCTCTTAATGAATGTAGAGTTACTGGATGAAATTTTTGCCTGTAGACTTTTGAAAGATTTTATCACTGTAAAATAATAGGATTGTGTCTTGGTTTGAAAAGATAGGTGTCTGCTAAGGAAGGCAGGAGCCTCCCCTGAAATGGAAAATGTATACCCCCTCCCTCCAAATAGTGATAATTTTGAAATTAAGGGGGCTCTCAGGCAAAGATATAGGAGTAGGAATAACAGTTCTTTATTAGGGAAGAAAATAAAAGTAGAATAAACAATGCAGTAATACAAAACAACACTGATAGAGTCAGATTACCACCTGACACCCTGTGGGTCAGGGTGGTGGCAGCATCCCATTAAATGGTGGCTGCAGTGCTCCTGCAGTGCCAGCTGTGCTTCTGCTGGAGCAGGGATCCTGTAGAAGGGCGTAACCTTACTCTGAAGATCTAGCGGTGATATAGATGGGCCTGGTCTTCCTCTGGGAATCCTGTGAAAAACAAAGCTGCTCCTCTGGGATTCCAGTGGAAAAGGCTGTGGTCTTCCAGAGCTCTGATGATATCCAGTTGGGAATGCTTGGCTCCTCCCTCTGGGCAGAGCTTCTCCAGTGGGATGATGTAATTTTATTAGTCAAGCTGTGGCACTCAATTGCCCATTAACAGAAGATACCTCCCCAGAGGGAGTATGGGTTGTGGAAAGGATACAGAAAACTTCCCAATTAACAGAAGATAACTGTCCCGTCGAATAAGAATAGAATCCACCCCTCATTTCCAACCTAAGACAGATTGTTTAATGTAATTCACAAACTAAAGTGATTTTTAAAGTAAAACTATCTTTAAAAGTAAATATGGTATAGTAATTAGGGGCTGAAAAAAGTTTTATCAATATCTTGAGGTGCCAAGCATGGTAATGATTCTGATTTACCACTGAGGGTTTTATCTTAGTAGCACACACACAGAGACTGCCTCGCTCTAATTTTATCAAATGCACCACTGCAAGTTTTCCATTGTTGTGAAGAACAGATCTGATGACACATTGGAATGGTGATATATTCCCATTTCAGTAATTGAGATCTCTACACTCCTTCAATATATACCTTTGGGAAAATAAAACTGCAGGTTCCTTTGAATTCAATTATGTAAAGCCCTTGTTTAAGTGGACCTTTACCTAACTAAAACAATGGTGTGCTTTATATTCTTCTGTGTTGCTTTTTCAGCTTTCAAGTTCTTGTAGCAGCTTCTATTATCAGGTTGTTTCTATTTACGTAAATGTACTGCAATGCTCTTCTGCTTCAAATTAGTGCATAGGAAGTGTCAAGTACGCCTGTGTGTTCAATAAATTTTTGCCAGAAACAGAAAGGGAAGAAATGGAACATAAAATACTTACCTTTGGGATATTGCTCCTATGAATTTTGAGGGGATTTAATATGCCATTGGTTCAAGAACTTCTGTTTAAGACCACTGGTGCTTCTCCAAAAGATGGTCTTGAAAATACTGCAGAATTCAGATGTTTTGGGGGTAAGGGGTTATGAGGGCACATTTCATGTTCTGTCAGAAGAAGCTGCTGTCTTTTTTTTTATTAGTTACAGATTGCTGCAAAAACAGTGTTTGCATTGCCTCCAAGCTTTCTGTAAGCTATTAGAAATACCACCAACACCTTTCACATGAGCTTTAGCTTTAGGTTAGTTATATTTCTGTGGACCAGGGATGTTTGTTATATCCAGTGCTAAAAATGCATTTGGCAAAGGGATAATGCAGCAAAACTAGCACATAAAGGAAGGATACGCTGTTTTTGTTGTTAAATATATGTGTTTAGCATCTCTTTTCCTTTATTTTAAGGGCTTGCTGCTTACGGCCTTAGACTCTTTGATCTCCCCAGTCTGTTTCTTTTTCCACTGATCTCTAGACCTTTGTTTCAGAGAGTGGGTTAAAAAATAATAGTTACTAAAAGTACCTATAGCCTTGAGATTACAATACAGATTTGTGTAGTTTCATTTCTCTAGCTCACAGCTGCTTCTGTAAATATGGGGAGCTTCCAATACTTTCTGGAAGTCTTGAAAGGAATTGCAAAACATGGTGCTGGCTCTCTTCCCCAATAACTTGAATCCTTGAATCAAAACACTTTACTTGTTCTTTAGAGAATACCAAAAGGTAAGTGATGTATTGCTTGGGACAAAATGGAGAGTGTTTGGCAGGTGCTTCTCTGCATTCACCTGTAACTGAATGACAAAAATAATCTCTTTTTTAATTTGGTTTTTTTTTTTTTTCAGAGTGCTGTTTCTTTAGTTATGTAGGACCATTGGCTATATTGATTTTTGTATTTCTGCTTTTTGGCTGCTTTAGCTTGCCACAATTGCATGTAGTCCTGATGCTAAATTGGAAGTGTATTTGCTGGTAAAAGGCTTCAAGCAGAAAAAATATTGCATCCACCCATGGAGATGGATCTTGCTCTCTGAATTACTGAAATACAGTGACTGGTTCTGCCACAGAGCAAAAATAACATTTGTTGCAATGGTGACATGCCTTCTTCAAAATACTGTTTGTCCAAGAAGGAGTAGTAAAATTAAAGATGCCCAGATGTTGTGAGGTGAAGGAGGACTCCTAGACAGATTAGGCAGCAAAGAACAACCAAGTTCTCTTTTCAAGGGAAAAGTTTGTGGTCAAAACTAAAATTAAAAATATGTGAATTGTTTTTTTGGGTCAGGAGGAAGCATTTGAGTGGTGCAGCATTTGAGAGATGGGGGTCTCTGTGAACCTCTGGGTATGACAGCAACCCCTACAGACATTTGTTTTGGTTTTTGGGTTTTTTTTTTTAATTAACAGTTTAGAAGCTGCCCAGAGCAAGTCCTTATAGCTGTATAACATCATCCCATCTGTAAGACTGAAATCTCTTAAGAAATATGTGCTTCTCATCTTGACTGATAAAATGCAGTTTTTCAATATCTGAATCAAAGTGTAAAGTCAGCAATGGAATTGGTGATGGTGGAGTTTACTTCCTCAAAATCTCGGCTTGATGCCCAGCTTACATTTAATCGGTAAATTCTTTTTTCTGTGTTATCACATTTCTACCAAAGTGGGCTTTTTGAGATTCTGAAAAGAAATATATGAACAGTGGGCATATGGCTGAACTAACAATGGCCATGATAAAATGAAACTCAAAAGTTAAATCTTATTCATTTGAATATAGTATATGAATGAATGAATATAAATGTAATTTTTCTAAAGTTTTTGATCAATAATACTTGAAAGCGTTTTCTGAGAGAGGTCCTAGTTCTGGGTCATGGGGAGCTGAGATGGAACAATGCCCTCAGGATTGCTCAGCAAATTACTGATAGAGACAATACAGAATTTAGAATTCCCAGCTTACACCATGGTATTGGACTTCGCTTAATTTGTATTGAATAGAAACTCTATTTGTCCAAATATTGTTAGGGTTTAACTGCATTCAGGATTATTTTGAACAATATTTTAAGTCCTAGTTTTGGATTGGGCAGCACAGATTATTTTGCTGATAGCAAAAATAACCAATAGTTAG